TAAAGTCCTGTTGGCACATCATTATCTTCGTGTTTATCTTTGTATCATTTTGGATATCTTTGTATCATACTGTATCACTTTATATCTTTTGATAATTGTTGGTATTTCTATACCTATCATTTTGTATATCGTTTTGTATATGTCAATCGGTTTTATTTTTGACTTTTTATGTATCGATTCACATACAATGGTGTAATTTGATATCATTTGTATCTTCTTGTACTACATTGTATCATTTTGTATATTTTTGTATAAAAGTTTTGCCTATATCAACTTCTTACAGTTTTGTTTTCACGGGTACATACTTACATACATTCATGTAGTTTATTATTTCTTCGTATCATTTTGCATCTTTTTGTATTTAGAGATAAAAACATACAAACACAAATATATACATACACACATACACACGAACGTACATGCATACAGACAGACAAACAAACAAACAAACTTTGTCGTTTAATTTTGTATAACTTTGTACACGTTTGCATCGCTTTGTATATTTTTGTATCTATGAGTACACACGTATTACAAGTTTTTACTCTCTCACACACACACACACACACACACACACACACACACACACACACACACACACACACACACACACACACACACACACATGCAAACAGACACAAACAAACACCCACACGCACACACACACACACACATATACAAACACACACACATACAAACAAACACACAGACTTTTGTGGTAGTGGCACGTGACAAGACTATTTTTAGATTTAGTTCCTCGAATGGGTTTTTCTTCCTCAGCCCCTGGAATCCCATTCGAAGGGGGGCCCTTGTCGTCCTGACCCATCCGTGAGTAGGGGTGATGAAGGGGTGACGAAGGGGTGATGAAGGGGTGATGGTGATGACTACGACAATTACGACGATAACAAAAATAATATTTATTGTTATAATTATTAGGTTGATAATGGTAATGATGATGACGACGATGAAAACAACAACAATAATAATAATTTTATATTTATTAATTTAATTATTATTATATTTATTATTTTAATTATTATTATATTTATTATTTGTAGGTTATTTAGTTTACTGGTGATGGTCGTCATTCTAGTGAACTGCGTTTTCATGGCCATCAACAAGGAAATCCCATACACAGAGTGTGTGTGTGTGTGTGTGTGTGTGTGTGTGTATGTGTATGTGTGTGTTTAAATCCCCTAGACAGAGTGTGTTTGTGTTTTTTTGTTGTATCTGTGTATATATGTGTGTATGTTTTCTGTGTGTATGTGTGTGTGCTGCCTGTGTGCGTATGTTTAAGAGAAAGATACACACACACATACACACTCACACACACACATATATATTCATGCATACATATACCTACAAAATACAGAAACACACACCACAAATGCGAGCATACAAAAACATCATACTATGGAAGAAAAAGAGAGAAAGGGAGAGAGAGAGAAAAAAAAAGAGAGAGAAAGAGAGAAATAAAAAGAAAAGAGATACACACGTACACACACAAACACATACACACACACACAGAAACATCTTCACAAGTATATACACAGTGGAAGGTACCGTCAAAATGCTCTCTCGTGGTTTCATACTGGCCGACTTCACTTACCTCAGAGACGCATGGAACTGGCTGGATTTCGTCGTAGTCTCATCTGCGTCTGTTTCAATATTTATTATTATTTACATTATTATTATTGTTATTATTATTATTCATTATTATTATAACTCGTAGTGGTGTCTGATTCTCAGAGCTAATACAAATATATATATATATATATATATATATATATATATATATATATTTGTTGCTATATTATTTGTATATTATGTATTGTGTATATTATTTGTTGCCGCTTCTCTTGGGATCAATTAAAATTAAGTATTATTATAACGATTATTGTCGTTAGTGGTTATTATTATTAATGTTGTTTCTATTATCATTATTATCATTATTATCATTATTATTATTATTATTATTATTATTATCATTATTATTATCATTATTATTATCATTATTATTATCATTATTATTATTATTATTATTATCATTATTATTATTATTATTATTTATCTTTTAACTATTATAATGATTGATCACTTTATATTTAATTGTAATTTTCATTTCTATTTTGGCTTTTGAAGAAATAAAAGAGTTCTCATTATTATTATTATTATTATTATTATTATTATTATTATTATTATTATTATTATTATTATTAAATAATTAAATAATTTTAAAGGTACATAACTATGTTTGTTGGGTCCGGGGAAGGCGGTGGAAAGGTGGCGGTACTAAGGACGTTCAGGGTCTTCAGGGCCCTCAAAACTGTCGCTGTAGTGCCCGGTTTGTTGTCGTTGTTGTCGTTGCTACAGCTGCTGCTGCTGCTGTATTAGTAGTAGTAGTAGTAGTAGTAGTAGTGGTGGTGATAGTAGTAGTAGTAGTAGTTGTAGTAGTAGTAGTAGCAGTAGTAGTAGTAGTAGTAGTAGTAGTAGTAATAGTAGTAGTAGTAGTAAAAGTTTGATAAATAGTAGTAGTAGAAATAGTGGTTGTTGCTACTGCTGCTGCACTGAGAATAGTAGTAGCTTGATGGCGATGGTGATGATGATGATGATGGTGACGACGACGATGATGATAATGATGATTAGGTTTGAAAACGATCGTTGGAGCTCTAATGGAAGCAGTGCGAAGATTGAGAGACGTGATGATACTATCGCTATTCGTATTATCAATATTCGCCCTGATCGGTCTACAACTCTATCAAGGTACATCCCTTTTTCTTCATGTGCGTGCGTGTGTATGTATGTGTGTATGTTTTTGTGTGTGTGTGTATGTTTGTGTGTATGTGTACGTGTGTGTGTGTGTGTGTAGGTGTGTGTGTAGGTGTGTATGTAGCTTTATTAATGTTGCTCTGATTTTAATCAAACAAACAACAACGTCATCGTCATCATAAGTACCACCATCATCACCATCATCGTCATCATAAGTACCACCATCATCATCATTACCACCACTATTGTCATCATCACCACCAACACCACAAAAGGAAAAATGATGCAGAAATGTGTCTTGTCACCGGAAAACATGACCGCTTTTGAAAAGTTACCTAAAATAGAACAAAGAATTTACGGCGGAAATAAATGTAGGTCTAATTATGTGTGTATGTATGTATGTATGTATGTATGTGTGTATGTATGTATGTATGTATGTATGTATGTATGTATGTATGTATGTATGTATGTATGTGTGCATGTATGTGTGTGTGTATGTGTACGTTTTTGTGCACATTTATGTGTGCGTGCACTTAATATTTCTTCGATTCATTTCAATTTTACCATCCTACTCTTAAGCTCTCTGGCAAGATTATCCTGAGAATCGAGACGGAAAAATTTGCGGTGGAAGGTAACACACACACAAACACACAAACACATACACACACACACACATACACACACATGCATAAACACACACATACATACACACACACACACATACACAGTATTTGCGGCGAAGGTTATACATGCTTAGAGTCAGGGTTCAATCCAAACTTCGGTTACACCACTTATGATAATTTTGGATGGGCCCTTCTTTGCGCTTTTAGACTCATGACGCAAGATTATTGGGAGAATTTGTATCAACTGGTTTGTATATTTATTTGTTTGTTTGTTTGTATACATGTTTGTTTGTTTGTATATATGTATGTTTGTGTGTATTTATGTTTGCCTGTGTGTTGGTGTGTATATTTTTAATTATTATATAAATGTTTATCAAGATTATTGGAAGAGCTTGTATCAAATTGTTTTATATATGTCTGTTTTTTTTTGTTTGTATGTTTGTTTGTGTGTATGTATGTCGATATGTTTATCAAGATTATTAGGAGAATTTGTATCAAATGGTTTGTTGGTTGGTATGTTTGTGTTTATATTATTTGTATGTATATGTATTTATTTAATGTATTGATAAAAAGAAAGAAAGAGAGAGAAAAAGAGAGAAAGAGAGAGAGAGAAAGGAAAAGAGAGAATTTATTTTTTGTCAATATAACATAATTTTTGTTGCGTGCAAAATATATAGCTGGTTTCATTAATAATTCAAAATATCACTACTCCTTCTATTGATCTGAGGAACATATAAATTCTATCAAAACTTACAACTATACATGTTTGTGTGTCTATGTGTGTGTGTGTGTGTGTGTGTGTGTGTGTGTGTGTGTGTGTGGAGTGCGCGCACGGCCCTGTTCTACAACACATCGCATTATCCTGATGTCCTATGATCTTATCACAATTCCATCGTCATCATCATGGTGGCCTCACATTAACCGACTGACCACACCACACCACACCAAGTAGCAACACCACTACCACCACCACCACCACCACCACACCACCACGTGGCAACAATACCACACACCACGTCACGTGACCACATCACGTCACGTCACGTGACAGACGATAAAGGCGAACGGTCCAGCTCAGATGTTCTTCTTCATCATCGTCATCTTTCTCGGCTCTTTCTACCTGGTCAACCTCATCCTGGCCATTGTCGCCATGTCTTACGACGACTGCCGCAAGCAGGACGCCCAAGCAGAGGAGCAAGAACTATTGGATTTGATGGAGGTATCGATGATGAAGATGGTGGTGATAATGGTGATGATAAGATGATGTGATGGTGATAAAACATAAACATAAAGAAATTATGGGCGCGAAAAACATATGCCCATATCTAAATGAAATAAAATTAAATTTTATTATAATATCTTATATATGATGACTTTTCAAAAACAGAAATAAACACACACACACACACACTCACTTACATATATACTTCTAAATAAAATACACATACTAACTTATATACTTATATATATACTAGATGATGATAAGATGATGGTGATGATAATGATGATGCTGGTGATGGTGATGTAAGATGATGGTGATGGTGATGATGATGGTGTAACTATATTCCCACCCCAACCCCTCCAACACAGCAACAGGAAGAAGAAGCAAACGCGGCCGCCTACCTCCTGCAACAACAAGATGAACTGAACAAAGATGGCGAAGATGATGAAGAAGACGACGACGATGACGACGAAGATGATGATGATGATGACAACGATTACGTCAATGACGTACGCAAGAGTCTGGATGAAGGTGAAGGTCGTGAGGTTGCCGTTGATTGGGCCTTCGATAGGAAGAGTCAAGGGTCAAATATGTCAAGGGCGAGTTTGAGGTCAGCCGAAAGTGGTCAGAAAAATATTATGTCGATCGGAGATGCTGGGGGCATTGATAATAAAGTTAGATTCATTTTTAACCAGTTTTTTTTCCTATTTAAATACGCGATTTTTTACATAAACAAATAAATTTTTAAAAATTTAAAATAATTTTGAACCGTACCATCAGTCCCTACAGAGCCCTCACGCTATGGACTCTCCCTCCTACGCTTTCCACCGCGGAAGTCAATTCAGTTGGCGCTACCAGCCTCCAGCCCCGCCGAACTACACCACGCAACAGCAGCAGCAACAACAGCCACAGTCGCAATCGCAAACGCCGCAACTTCAGAGCAGCAAAAACCACAACGTCAACAACCTCCCGGCGTATCAATCGCTACAATTTGCGCCACACTCGCAAGCAGGCCACCACGTTGGTCCAATTGTTTTCCCATGTCTCGAAAATTTAGACCTACCATTTGCAGACGACTCTGCGGCTGTCACGCCATCTTCCGAAGATATTTGCGTCTTCCAAAATGTTCGGAGTTCTCATTTTTTAGCCAAGAGTGGAGGGAAGCCAAGTATGACGTTGGTGAGTGCAGGGGGAGGACTGGGACTATATCCGTCTGCCGGTAGTGGCAGTAGGATGGTCCAACTTGAGTCCAGGTTTCTGTCTGTGTGTGTATGTGTGATGTTTGTTGTGTGTGTGTGTATGTGTGTGTGTGTGTGTGTATGCGTGATACTAACTATTTAAATAAATGGAGTATAAAATGATGTTCATGCACCCTAATCTGGTTTGTGTTAAATAAGTAAATTTCACTGAACAGCCCTTCAAAAAATTATCAAGTCCGTAAATTAGTTACCTATATGATATAATAATTAATCAGTTAACAAAATTGTCATTCAGTTATTCAATCAATCATTCAACTAATCAACAAATCGATCAGACAACCAATCAAAAATTCACTCACCCACAACCAACCAATCAAACAACCACTCAACCAGGTTCGCACCCAATAGGCAATCGGGCCACATAATCACCCAGCCGTATGTCCCATCTCCCAAACTCTTAGCCACGCCTACTTCACTTCTGTTGCCTAGCGATCAGTTTCAGTCGACCAATCGCATTCGACTTCCGGATTTCAAACGCAGCGAGCCAACTCATTTCCATTGGGTGTCTGGTAGGGCGAGAAATGCGAATTTGAATAACGGAAGTGGGGCTGTAGGGCTTGTTGTCGGGAAAACAAAAAATGTAAGTTAACCTGGAGAATAATTTGCGTTATTTTTTTTTTAATTTTCTGGGTTCATTCTTCAGTTTTTTTTTATTTAATTGTTTAAGACATTGTTTTTAATGAACTTTTTTCATATTCTTTATCATCGTTTTTCTCTTCATCTTTATTATCATCTTCATCATTTTCATCTTCTTCATCATCTTCATCTTCTTCATAATCTTTGTCATCTTCTTCTTTTTCATAATTTTCATAATCTTCATCATCTTCATCATCATCATCTTCTTCATCATCTTCTTCTTCATCATCTTCTTCTTCCTCTTTAACCCTCGCCAGGAATGGGATAAGAGCAAATTTACAGACAACAATTTTACATACAGGACCCCGAGTGCTACCACTATTGATATGAAAGGTGATTTTTAAAATTTAATTAATAATAAGAATTTAAATAATAAATATTTAAACGATAAAAATTACAGTACTAAAGATAGAGGTTTTGTATTTTTAAAATATTGATTTGTCTAATTGCTGAACTTTAATATAATATCTTTTTCTCTCAAGATGTTCTGGTCTTAAAGGATTTAATAAAAGAGGCCTCTAAGAAGAAAAGTAAAATGACGTCATCATCATTATCCTCATCATTATAGACATCATCGTACACACATACCGACACGCACACGCACGCACACACGCACACTCAATCATTCACCACTACACATCAATATGTGTAGTGGTGAATGATTCCTCTTTCTCTCTCTCTTTCTCTCTCTTTCTCTCTCTTTCTCTCTCTTTCTCTCTCTTTCTCTCTCTCTCTCTTTCTCTCTATCAGACACATATAAACAAATACGCCACATATACACACACACGCAAACACACACACAAACACAGACTGCTTCGGAATGGAGGAAGGGCAATCGAAGAAGGAATTCCTCAAAGCCAAATGCCACCAAATTCTCTTTGGCTGGGATTGCTGTCCGTGCTGGTATCGATTTGCTCATTATATCGAACTCTTCATATTGGACGCCTTCGTAGACCTCTTTATAACGTTGTGCATCGTTATAAACACGCTCTTCATGGCTATGGACCACGACAACATGAGCCAGCAGCTAGAGTTAACGTTGAGATATGGAAATTATGTTGGTACTGGTGCGTGTCTCTCTCTCTCTCTCTCCCTCCCTCTCCCTCTTTCTCTCCCTCTCTCTTTCTTTCTCTTACTTTAACTTTGTATGGGCGTGTTTGTATATATATTGTATGTATGTTTTTTTTTCATGAAAAGTTTAATTTTTACGATGATGCCAAATTAAATAAAATTTAAAATGCAATTCACGAACTTTAATGATAGTTTAAAATATTTAAAAAAACCTAGCGGGGAAATTTCAACTGAATTTATTATAATATTTAAGCTTTTCAATTCGTCTATCAAATTGTTATTAAGATTTTGAAATAATAATAATAATAATAATAATAATAATAATGACAGGTATTCACGTGTATCTTTACAATAGAAGCCGGTCTGAAAATTTTGGCTCTAGGCCTGTACAAGTACCTAGAAGATAAGTGGAGCTGCTTCGACATCGTCATCGTCATTTTGAGTCTCATCGAGTTGGGGCTGTCGGGGATCAAAGGGCTGTCCATTCTGAGGTCTTTCAGATTGGTAAGTAGGTGTGCCCTTGTGTGTGTTTGTGTCTCTTTCTCTCTCTCTTTCTCTCTTTCTCTCTTTGACGTTTTATCTTTTTCTCTCTCTTCCTTCTCTTTTGAGTCTCGTTAGTTTGGTTCGGTCTGGAATTAAAATTGTGTTTTTGTGTGTATATGTTTGTGTGTGTGAATTCGTGTATGTGAAGATTACTTAGTACTGAGTGTGATGTTTTTGTGTCTAATGTGTTATTCCCTCCCTACTTACCCTTAGTTAAGAGTTTTTAAACTGGCGAAATCTTGGCCCACCTTGAATCTTCTGATCGGGATCATAGGGCGAACCATGGGGGCCCTAGGAAATTTATGCTTTGTACTGGCCATCATCATCTTCATCTTTGCCGTCATGGGTTAGTGTTGTAATTTAGAAATGCACACACACACACACACACAAACAAACAAACAAACAGTCAGATGAAAAAAATGAAACAAATACAAATAACCACTTAAGCACGTACACACACACACTTTCTCTGCCGTTTGATTTTAAACTGTTTGACATCTCATTCACATTTTGGAATTTTAGTTTTACACGTTCAGTTTCATTTTTAAGATTGGTTGTGTGGCTTTTTACAAGCAAGCTTTCTTGCTTCAGCCTTTAAAAAAACCCTGAAATGAATTAAACCTGAAAGGAGAAAGAAAGAGAGAAAAAAAGCAATAACACATGCACACAAACAAACATACACACACACACACACATACAAACAAACATACATACACAAATACACACAAGCAAACAAACTTACACACACACAAACAAACAAACAAACATATACACACGCCTGCACACATATGTACACACACACAAACAAACAAACATACGCACACACATACATACACACACACATGCACACAAACAAACTTACACACACACACAAACAAACAAAATACACACACATATATGTACACACACACAAACAAACAAACATACAAACACACATACATACACAAATACACACAAACAAACTGACACACACACAAACAAACAAACATACACACATATGTACACACACACACAAACAAACAAACATACACACACATACATACACACACACATGCACACAAACAAACTTACACACACACACACACACAAAAACAAACACACACACACACAGGAATGCAACTATTCGGTCCGAACTACGTTGCCGAAAGATTTGAAGAAAAAGTTCTTCCCGGTTGGCACTTTTGCGATTTCTTGCATGCTTTCATGATCGTCTTCCGAGTCCTTTGTGGGGAGTGGATTGAATCCATGTGGGATTGCATACGCACAAACGGATACCACTGCATCCCGTTCTTCCTACTCACCATGATTATTGGAAATCTCGTTGTAAGTGCTATTGGTTTTGGTGCTGGTTGGCTGGGAATAGAGAAAGATTTTGAACGTGATGATGACGTTGTTGATGTTGTTGTTTTATTTGCTTATTTTATTTGTTGTTGTTGTTGATGATGTTTTTGTTGATGCTGTTGCTGTTTTTGATATTGTTGTTGTTGCTTTTGCTTTTGTCGTTGTTGATGTTGCTGGGATAATTTTTGTGCCTTCGTCACCATCATCTCAACCACTTTCACCATTATTTTCATCATCATCTTCATCATCTTTATCTTCATCATCACCATCATCACCACCATCATCACTACCACAACCAGCTCCTAAATCTTTTCCTTGCTTTGCTGTTGAGTTCGTTCGGAGCGGAAAGTTTGAAAAAGAGCGAAGAGGAGGAAGGCCCGAACAAGCTACAGGAGGCCATAGATAGGATAACGAGATTCTGCATCTATGTTAAGTCGCACCTGGCATATCTATGCAAACGAGGTGATGACGTCAAGCTGGCTGGCTGGCTGGATGGATGGATGGATGAATAACGTGGTGATGACGTGGCTGTGATGACG